ATTAGAAATATTATGGGATTTTTTGTGTGTTTTTTGGTTTAGTGTACTCTTGTAACCCTTTTATGAGAAGGTTGTTTGAAAACATGGCAACACAGTTCAAAATAAATCAATCAATCTGAGGCTTACTAGTGTGAGCTGTGACATGATTAAACAGTTGTGTGATACATGGCACATAATGCATAACCATGACTGTAAAAAAACCAAAACACCACAACACAAAAAACCAAAACCAATCAAACAAAAAAAACAAAACAAAACCCACTTGTTACTCTTTTATTCCCCAGCATATCATTAAGTATCACTTAGTATGGTTTGCATTTCATTCAGCTAAAACATATCAATGTTTGTACACTTTTATCTTCTATCCTAATTAGCTCCAAAAGCAGGATATAGCCAAGGGGCAACTCAGTATACCCAAGCCCAACAAACACGACAAGTGACAGCTATAAAACCTGCAACCCCAAGTCCTGCAACAACTACGTTTTCTATATATCCCGTATCCTCTACTGTGCAGCCAGTAGCAGCTGCAGCTACTGTTGTTCCATCGTATACTCAAAGTGCAACGTACAGTACAACAGCGGTTACTTACTCTGGTAAGAATTTTGCATATTATTTTGCTGGGATCTTTGCAGTTGTTACAGAAGAGGCTTTAAATACTCAGAATTCTAGCAGTTTGTGTTCAATTCCATCATAGTCTATGGAGAAGTATCAACCAGTTAAATCATTATAATGGCAAAATATTTTGATGTATCTTTAAAAGAGGTTTGATATTTGTATGTGCCTATTGTGTTTCATGTGAGAATATACAAAGCATTGGCATTGCTACGTGCACAGTGTTTGTGACTTACTGTAAGGTTTGGAGAGAAAAGATGGGGGATAGAAAAAATAAGGAAACGCATCTACACAAATATTACCCAGGGAAATTGGAAGGGAGCATGCTGTCATCAAACAGCAGTTGAAGAGATAGGGAGGAACAGTCCCATGTAAATCTTGTAAGTTTGGGTTGTCTTGACCCAAAATGGGAGGAGAATGGGTGCTGAAAAAGAGACTTTCCATCAAACGTTAGAAATCCAAAAAGTAGTTAAAGATGGAAAGATTTTAACTTTACGGCCAGATGGTAATCAACTGGCATATTATAGCTACCTTGAACTTTTTGTTTTGTTTTGTTTTCTGTTTAAAAAAGGATTTTAAGACTTCCTTGAGACAGAGCCTGATCAGAGGATTAGAATAGTTGAACCAGTAGATGTAGAAATTTTATGGGAAAACTGGCTCAAAGGTATGAAAGCCCAGTTTCCTTGATTTATTCAGCTTTGATACTAGAAATCAAGGACTGCATAGCCAGGTTTTAGTGGGCAAGTAGCTTCTCTGCACTAAAACAACACAAATCAGTGAAATAGAATGTAATAGCACTAGCTGTTCTGTCTTTTATCTTCATTTTTTTCCCCCTTCCTCTACATAATGTCTGTCCTCCTTGCCATTTTGAAACTTGAACAGTAAATCTAGTTCTGGAAGACTGCTTACTTCAAGTGGCCTTTGAAAAATCTTTTATTAAGATTCTTGTTATATCATACTCAGTCTTACTAGATGTACCAGGAAATTTCACATATTCTTTAGGGATGCTTTGATATACCTAACATAACTGTGTGTCTGCAAAGATGTGTCTAAAATCAAATGTATTCCTGATACAATTGGTAGCTGTGTATTTGTGTACTGTGAAACATCAAGAAAAATTCAGACTGCCTAACAAAACCTCAATAAATCATTCATATCTTGCCCTGCCCCCCCCCAACTCTATTATGCAACATGTTTTGAATTAGTGTATTATGTAATTGATACATGATGTACAGTGATGTAACATTTATTTTATTTTGATCCCGGCTGCTGCAGCAGCTGCAACAGCTGCTTGGACAGGGACCACTTTTACTAAAAAGGCACCATTCCAAAATAAGCAACTGAAACCAAAGCAACCTCCCAAACCGCCCCAGATCCACTACTGTGATGTTTGTAAGATCAGCTGTGCTGGACCACAGGTACCTGTATTATGTAATATTCTGCTATATGCTTTAGTCATCGTTCCTTCAGCTAAAAACTGACCCCTTTAAGAATATTTGTTGATTTTTAAAGATCTGATCCTGTACTTCTACTAAAGGAATAATTAGATGAAAATGTGCACTATTATAGAAAGAGTTTTTGTGAGAAGACAAAAATATACATCCCCTTAGCTTGTACAGAGAAGCTTCAGCTGTGCTTTGGACTTCAGAAATATTCTAAACTTTGAATTTGATTTGCTCTTTTAGCATAGCAAACTTCTTAGAAAATACTTTTTTCAAAACCATGGAATTTTATAAATTTTGTGAATGGTAAGCCTGAAAATTTATTCTTCATTGTATTCCAGCATCCCAATTTAGTTTCGCAGTGGGTACAAGTGTGTAGAAAGTAGATACCAATTCATGCAGGGTGTTTATGTGTGTGTCTGGCTAAACAGTTCTTGTTCTTTAGGTAAACTTGTCATTATTTCCCACCCTGTCTGCTCTCTTGATTGCCAGTGTTGGTATAGGAACAAATATCAACTTCAGCATTTCATTTTCAGCACAGCTTTATTTATCCGCTACCTTCTTTTGAATGGATTTTTTTAGTTGTCTGGATACACTTAATCACTGTGGTCTTACAGTTTGAGGAAAATTCAAAATCAAGAATAATTGAATGCAATGCAGGAAACTGCACTTTTCTTATCATACCAAGTTTTTAATGGTAATACTGTTGACCAGTACTTGATTGTGCAAGTGAGAAGTTAGATGAGAAAAGCCCATATTGTATTACCTAAAAATGGAATCCTGATGGTGGAGAAGAAAATTTCTTGGTCTTCGAAGTGGCCTGCTAATGCCTTAGAGCATGTCATATGGAAGAAATATTCAGTGGAGGAAATATTTATTATACAAAGCATGTGTTTTATGCTATGTTCTATATTACATGTATTCACTTGAATGGTGAACAAGCAGTACAAAGATCGCTTATTGTGTGTATATTGTTAATTTAAACAGACTTACAAAGAACACTTAGAAGGCCAGAAACACAAAAAGAAAGAAGCTGCATTAAAAGCTTCCCAGAACACCAATAACAGCAGCACTTCTGCTCGTGGAACTCAGAATCAGTTGCGCTGTGAGCTTTGTGATGTGTCTTGTACAGGGGCAGATGCTTATGCTGCCCATATCCGTGGAGCCAAGCATCAGAAAGTAAGAGTTTTCTCTTGTTCTTATTATGCAAGTCAGTCGTATATTTCTTCCTGTCATTTTTTCTCATCTTAGAGAGAAGAAAATATACAGAAACAATATAATTTGAATTATTTTGTTTAAAGATGTTTAGTTCTGCTTTCTATGTCAAACTTACCTTTAAGCTCACTATTAGAAGGGCCTTGTTGGGAGAAAGGGGGGAAAATATTGTCACGGCATCAGTGAGATGATGATGTGTTGGGGAAAGTATGTAAATCATAGGAAGAAGGTGTAGAGTAAGATGGGGAAAAGAATCAGTGAGGGCATACAGTGGCATGCTTTTGCCCCTTGACTCTCTATACTTTTCTTGACATTTGTCTTATTTATATGGTGCTGTGAAGCTTTCCATGCACTTTGAAACACTGTAAGCTGAGTCAGTGCCAAGGGACAGGACTATAGTGCATCACTGGTATTTCTTGCAAAGAAAATTGGCATATGGGAGCAAGGAACAATGCCCTGTAGCAGACTTTATAATGAGTATGTTTGGAGGGCTTTCGGTAAGCATATTTTCTCTACTGTTTGGGTGCAGTTAGGTGGGCATTCTGGAATAAAGACTGTGGGCTGCACTGTGAACCCCTGTGACCTGGGTTTTAAATTTGGCCATGCAATAGTAAATGCAGTGGCAGTGTAGAATGTTTGTTTAGATATTACAGATTTTCCTCATAGCTCTGGAAAAATTAATGTCAGTAACAAATACAGTGTTAATATTCAGCTTTTATAGCTCTTTGCATCTCAGAACACTGTAGAAAGTGGCATCAGTGACATTGTTCCTATTAAAATAAATAAATCTTATAGCAAATTTAAAACAATTTTCCCAGTGTCATTTTTTGTTAGTACAAAAGCAAAAATTATAATTTAGATAGACTTGCCTAGTGTTCTTTCTTTCATTAATAAGTTGAGCCATTAAATCTTTGGGTTGTGACCAATAACTCCATGAGTATATGGAGTATAGTATATATTATCCTTATATATTTGGATGTAGCTTTCTCTTCCTCATAGATAGTCACTAACGACTGCTAATTTAGGTTGTTATCAGTGTAAAAAGGAAATCTCAAAGGACTCTATTTATTTCTGTGGTACACTGAAGAATCTTGTGCATTCTACTGGAAAAAAGTAATTTTGAAGAGTTGCTTGAACTTAAATTTATAGTATTAGTGACACTAATATGTCTGTATTCTGATGGGGAACATACTTAAAAAAATAAGAACAAAAACCTAAGAAGTGTGTTTATACAGTTGTGTGTGTGTCATGATTGTGTACATGTGTTTGCATTAAAGGCATGTCTCGCAGATTTGTATTTTTTTTCACTGCTACTTTCAAACCCAGTGTTTAGTTTTGATTTTTCTTGTTTTGTTCTTACAGACTACAGGTATTGCTTTTTCAGGTGATGGTCAGCTGTCACCAAAATGAAGTATTATTCTATCTCAAGCGTGTTGTGGGAAGGCCTCTGCTTATTACTTCTAAGAATAAGCATGTACTTCTTTACTTTCTATGAGATACTAAAGAGCTCTGAAATATGCATCTCACATCCTCCTTAACTGTCTCTGCAGATGTGCTTTTTTTTAAAAAAACAAAACAAAAGAAAACAAACCCCTTTGTCTAAGGAATCTTCTCAGTTCTGCTAGGTAACCTGGAAATTCTTTCAATATGAATACTCTTAAAATGTAGTGATCAAAAGAGACATTATTGTTGATTCTGAATTAAATAACACTTATTTACAAATATTATTTGGAACCAAATAGTTCAATGTACTGCACTTTTTGGAGGGAGAGTAAAAAGCAACCAGGCAACAAAACAGTCACACTGTTTCCTTGAGTTGTACTGGTTTGTGAGTTTACTGGCTTTCTGTTCTCATCTATGCAGCTTTTGGAGTAAATGTCTGAATTTCTAATGGAAATGAGCAATGTGAAATAACTATTAACTATTTGCTTGTTACAGGTGACAAGAGCTTATACATGTCCATCTTTTTTTTTCCCACCCAAGATTACTTTTTGTAAAGAAGCAATAGCTAACATTTTAGTTATATTGATTTTTTTTTTTTTTTTTTAGTTATCATGATGTTTGTGTTTACATAATTTTTTAGTTATCCCAGGGAGATCATATTATCTTTTTTCTTTTATTCTTATAGGTAGTAAAGTTGCACACAAAACTTGGCAAACCCATTCCTTCAACTGAACCAAATGTGGTTACCCAAGCTACTTCCTCAACATCCACATCTGCATCCAAACCAACTGCCTCTGCTTCAAATATAGCAACTAGCAGCAGTACTGTGAACTCCTCTGTTTCATCTTCTGCAGTGAAAATTCTTACTCCCACAGCAAACACACCACTTAACACTGCGTCCAACAACAAAACATCTTCAACCGCTGCTAATATAGCTGTAAAGAAAATATCTACACCGAAAATAAACTTTGTTGGCAAGTACAGAAGTCAGTCTTTATTTTGAAACCTAACCTATTCTATAATTTTTTTAAGACTTAGTGCAGCAAATACAAATGTATCTAGTTAACTTTATGCATGAGTAACTCTGTTGTGTTTAAGAGAATTACTGATAGGTGAATATAAGAATGTAAATTAAAGTTTTGCTTCAAAATCTGTAGTATTTTCTGCCCAGTTGTCTCCACCTGACCTCTCTTGGAGGCTTCTCCCACCTTCATGAGAAGCCTCCCACCTTTGGTTTCTTATGCAGTAGCTGTATTGCAGTTTATAGTCTGCTTGGTCCTAATTTCAGTTTACAGCCTGGGCTGTTAAGGCAACCTGCAGTAGGTTGGCAGTTGATAACTGGGCAACTGGAACATCCTTGTGACAGTGGAAATCTAACAGTGGAAACTTTTGAAATGAATATAACAAACATTTAGAGATGGCAAGCAGCTGTTCCACAATAATATATCCTGCTCTTGAAGGAAAGACCTATGCAGTTGCAACACTGAGAGTATACTACCTTTATTAGTACAAATATTATAAGTGTTTGAAGTACTTTTTTGGATCCATTTACCAAAAAAAAGATTATCTGATGACAAAAAGAGATTATTAAAATGTATTTGCTGAGTTGTTCCCATTCAGTCCTCTCTCTTTTGAAAAAAGCATGAAAATTAAAAAAGAAAATTACAATTATATAAAGCAGAATTTTTTCTTGCTAAAATAAAAAGCCAAGTGTTTAAATAACTTCAATGTTGTTAAACTTATTTTAAAAAATCTTTAATTGTATTTTAAATATGTTTAAGTTTTAACTAATTTTAAAAGGCTGATAATGCTTTGGCCAGAACATTGATATTTGCAAATAAAGTCTTCAGTTTGCACATCATGCATGATCACACTCCCATTTTATGAAAGTTAATGATTTAACTTTTTTGATTTATAGGTGGCAATAAGCTTCAGACAACAGGAAGTAAACTGGAAGAAATGAAATCAGCTGAAACTGTTAAAACAACTCCTGCTGCTACAGTACAAACACAGGAAGTAAAACCAGACACAGCAGCTGAACCAGTGACTCCCACAACTCTTGCTTCCTTGCAAAGTGATGTCCAGCCAGTGGGCCATGACTATGTGGAGGAGGTATTGATATGAAAATGTGTATTATTTTTTAACTATTTTAGTGAAAATTTGTTCAACATGAAACAGAATCACAGAACAGCTGAAGTTGGAAGGGACCTCTGGAGGTCGCCTGGGGATCCACTCCCACTCAAACAGGGCCACCTGGGATCCACTCCCACTCAAGCAGGGCCACCTACAGCCAGTCACCCAGGACCATGTCCAGACAGCTTTGGAGTATCTCCAGGGATGGAGACTCCACAACTTCCCTGAGCAATCTGTGCCAGGGCTCAGTCACCCTCACAGTAAAAAAGTGTTTCCTGGTGTTCAGAGGGAACCTCCTGTGTTTCCGTTTGTGCTCATTGCCTCTGGTCCTGGCACTGGGCACCACTGAGAAAAGCCTGCCTCTGTCCTCTTTGCACCCTTCCTTTACGTATTTATATACGTTAAGAAGATCCCCCCTCGGCGTTCTCTTCTCTAGGCTAGACAGTCCCAGCTCTCAGCCTGTCCTCATAGGAGAGATGCTCCCATCCCTTCACCATCTTTGCGGCCCTTTGTTGGACTCTCTCCAGTATGTCCGTGTCTCTCTTGAACTGGCCACAGCACTCGAGGTGTGGCCTCACCAGTGCTGAGCTAGATGGGAAGGGTCACCTCCCTCAGCCTGCTGCCAATACTTTGTCTGATGCAGCCCAGGATGCCATTCGCCGCCTCTGCTGCAAGGGCACACTGCTGGCTCATGTTCAACTTGGTGCCCACCAGGACCCCCAGGTCCTTTTCTGCCAAGCTGCTTTCCAGCTGGGTGGCCCTCAGCATGTATTGGTGCATGGGGTTGTTCCTCCCTGGGTGCAGAACTTTGCACTTCCCCTTGCTGAACTTCGTGAGATTCCTGTCAGCCCATTTCTCCAGCCTGTTGAGGTTCCTCTGGATGGCAGCACAACTCTCTGGCATGTCAGCCACTCCTCCCGGTTTTGTGTTGTGAGCAAACTTGCTGAGGGTACGCTCTGCCCCATCATCCAGATCATTAATGAAGATGTTAAAAAGGACTGGACCCGGTATTGACCTCTGGGGTACACTGCTACTTATTAGCCTCCAACTAGGTTTCATTCTACTGATCACCACCCTCTGGGCCTGCCCATGCAGCCAGCTTTCAGTCCACCTCACTGTATGCCTATCCAGCTCATACATCAAGAGCTTGTGTATGAGGATATTATGGTGAGACTGTGTCAAAGGCCTTACTGAAGTCCAGGCAGACAATATTGACTGCTCTTCCTTTATCAAGTTGATCAAGCATCACTTTCCCTTGGTGAAGCCATGGCAACTACTCCTGATGATTTTCTTGCCCTTAATGCGCCTGGAAATGGTTTCCAGGATTAGCTGCTCCATCACCTTCCCAGGGATCGAGGTGAGGCTGACTGACCTGTAATTCCCTGGGTCCTCCTTGAAGATAAGAATGACAAGGCATTGGACATGCAAAGGCTTGTGCATATGTTCATAATTTTGTGTTGTGCATGTTTCTTTTATGCTCAGTGGGGCATTCTTCATGTGGTGGCATGAGGTATGTCGATGAAGTGTGATGTAAATTTTTCATGATTTGCAAGTTTGTAATGATTCAACTCAATATATTCAGGCTCGAATTTAAAGCTGTGTACTGTTTGGGATGGAACAACTTTGTTAATTACCAAGCACAATGGTGTGTTTGTCAGAATTGAAAGTTGTATTTTGCATTCTTTCAGTTATTGTGTGAACTTTTTAGCAAGTTTTGAGCCAGGTAGACATTATCCAATGTCACTGAATTAGATTAATTTTTACATCAGCTTTGTTTTTAAAAAAAATACCCAAATGTGTTCTAACTTTATTTTCCAGGTAAGGAATGATGAAGGAAAGGTGATCCGGTTTCACTGTAAACTTTGTGAATGCAGTTTTAATGATCCTAATGCCAAGGAGATGCACTTAAAAGGGAGACGGCACAGACTTCAGTATAAGGTTAGTAGAAATGCTGATGCTTCTGTCTGAAAATCCACCAGATGTCAGCTGACTATTTACGTGTTCTTACATTTAAAGGCCAGACAAAAGTAGGTACTCTGAGGAAACAGCATATAAAAAAAGGTATAGAAGCATATTTCTTAGGGAGTATAGTCTTTAAAGAAGTAATGCAGACTGTGAAACTGTATTTTTGTTTGGGTTTTTTTAAACATTTTGAACATTGCTTTCAGGCAACATTTACAACGTTAAAGTATGGTATAACATATGCAAGCAACACTAGGTTCTTTATGTTGTTTACCATTAATTTCAAATAGTGTAAAATAGTAGTGCTCAATGTTTTCAGCAGGATAAACCACATAAACCCTTTGTGGAGACATTAGAGAAACAATTGTTGCAGACTTTTTAGTCATGAATGGAGAGGCACTCATACTGACATATGGTGTGCATTTTGATTATCATAAGATTATGTTGGAAGAATCTATTGTGGTCACAGGAGATACAGTGGACCTGCATAATCATGAAAGGGATGAAAGAGGAGAAAAAATTGCTGGAAAATTTCATTCAGTAACTCATGGTTATGCCCCTGTATTTGGGGCCCTTCAGGAACAGGGGATCAGGAAGCACACTGTAATTAAGATGAAATGTTTCTTTCAGGCTATAGAGTAGTCATCCTGCTACAGAATGAACAGCAAATTACTTAGTATTTCATGTAACATTTTAATCTTAAATTGCTTTGTTCTCATATAAGCGAAGAGGGAATTCATGCTATTTGTAATACATTGATATTTCTTTCCTTGAAAATACTGGACATAGATTTTCCTTCTTTAGCTACTCATTCAATGCAGTTCTAAAACTGCATTTTACTCCCCTTGAGTTTATCATAGACCGGTAGTGTGTGTTAACATGTCAGAAGAACTCTGTAACCTTGAGATGACAAGAGGAAAAACAACATTTCATTTATTATTTTTCTGAACTAGAAAAAAGTAAACCCAGACTTACAAGTAGAAGTAAAGCCCAGTATTCGAGCAAGAAAAATTCAAGAAGAGAAGATGAGGAAACAGATGCAGAAAGAAGAATACTGGAGAAGGCGAGAAGAGGAAGAACGCTGGAGGATGGAAATGAGGTAATGCATTCTGTTTTATCAATGAATGAGACAAAGCTGCAGTCAGATTATCTAAAACTAACTCTGCTTCTGTAGTTACTTATTTTGAATACTTGTTTTGGGAACTCTATGCTGCCTTGTTTTAAATTGTCATTATCCCTCTGAGGTTTTTGTTTGTTAGTGTTCAGTCTCTCAGGGGTATGCAGCCTTATTAGAATTATTTTGCTATAAATTCAGACCCACTTTCAAAATGCCCATTCATTTTAGTTACCCTCTGGAGTTCACTGGTATTTCTGTATGACTGCTAGAAATGAGTTAGTGAGGACATACAAGAATATATTTAGAATGGTTGCAACTATTAACTGCTATTTAAAGAGAACACTTTGATTGATGCACTTCAGGCGATATGAAGAGGACATGTACTGGAGGAGAATGGAGGAAGAGCAGCATCACTGGGATGACCGTCGCCGAATACCAGACGGAGGATATCCGCATGGTCCTCCAGGACCTCTGGGCCTGCTGGGAGTTAGACCAGGAA